CATCACTGCTTCCTCCTCCACTAACAAGTCACACATTGCCACCTTGTATACTTCTTACTAATCCATCACTGCTTCCTCCTCCACTAACAAGTCACACATTGCCACCTTGTATACTTCTTACTAATCCATCACTGCTTCCTCCTCCACTAACAAGTCACACATTGCCACCTTGTATACTGCTTACTAATCCAGCACTGCTTCCTCCTCCACTAACAAGTCACACATTGCCACCTTGTATACTGCTTACTAATCCAGCACTGCTTCCTCCTCCACTAACAAGTCACACATTGCCACCTTGTATACTGCTTACTAATCCAGCACTGCTTCCTCCTCCACTAACAAGTCACACATTGCCACCTTGTATACTGCTTACTAATCCAGCACTGCTTCCTCCTCCACTAACAAGTCACACATTGCCCTTTGCATACTGCTTACCAATCCAGCACTGCTTCCTCCTGCACCTACATGCCACACATTGCCACCTTGTATATGGCTTACCAATCCAGCACTGCTTCCTTTTTCACTATCTGACCAGTTAGACGAGTTGACTTTACATAGAGATTACTTATCCAGTTCTGCTTCCTCCTTCATTATCTGGCAAGGCATATACTGCCACCTTATATGCAGCCTACAGATCCAGAACGGCTTCCTCCTCTGCCTACTGAAAAGAACACACACCGTCATCTTATATAGAGCTTACTGATCCAGAACTGTTTCCTCCTCCACTTTCTGACAAGACAAACACTGCCACCTTATATACAGCTTCCTCCTCCCCTATCTAACAATTCACATGCTGTCACCATATATTCAGATTACGTATCCAGCTCCGCTTCCTCTTCCACTATCTGACAAGACAAACACTGCCACCATATATACAGCTTCCACCTCCCCTATCTGACAAGTCACATGCTGTCACCATACAGGTGAAACTCGAATAATTAGAATATCGTGCAAAAGTAATTGCAGTAAGTGCTGCAAAAGGGGCCCAAACCAAGTACTGAGTACATATGCATGCTTATACTTTTCAGAGGTCCGATATTGTTCTATGTACAATCCTTGTTTTATTGATTGCATGTAATAATCTACTTTTTTGAGGTTGTGGATTTGGGGTTCTTGGGGTTTTCATGAGCTGTAAGCCATAATCATCACAATTATGACAAATCACGGCTTGAATTATCTTGCTTTGCATGTAATGAGTATATCTCATATATTAGTTTCACCGCATAAGTTGCATTAGTGAAATAAATTAAGTTTGCGCGATATTCTAATTATTCGAGTTTCACCTGTATATACAGATTACGTATCCAGTTCTGCTTCCTCTTCCACTATCTGGGAAGACATACACTCCCACCTTATAAACAGTTTATCGATCCAGAACTGCTTTCTTCTCCACTATCTGACAACACACACACTTTCACCTTATATATGGTTTACGGATTCAGAATTGCTTTCTCAGCCTCTATCCGGCATGACCCATCACTGCTTCCTCCTCCACCATCTGGCAAAGCACACACGACCACCTTAGACCCCAGTCACACCAGGGCGACAGCATTTCAGCACGCTTTACGCTGTTTTTGTAGCGTGTTTCAGAGGCGTTTTCTGTTCATAAGCAATAGCGTTTTCAGCTTGTTTCTCAGTTGTCCAATGAAAAGCAGTCTCAGCAGCAAAAACGCGCTTAAAAAAGCGCAAACACATGCTGATTGGCACATTTCTATTGAAGTCTATGGAGCAAAACGGGCTGTTAAGTGCCACAAAAGAAGCTAAGGGACTATTTCAAACACCAGGCGTATTTTTATACGCGCGATTCAGCGTGGTTGTGTGAACGGCCACCTTAGGAATACATGGAATTTTATGTTGCATGCATTTCAGCGCGGAACGAACTGCCCTGGTGTGAACAGGACCTTGCATAGAATGTTATGAATTGCACATTGCTTTGTCCTACCCTAGCAAGAAAACATCACCTTTTATGTAGCTTACAGATCTAGCACTGCTTTCTTCTACAGCACCTTATATTACATTTACAGATCCAACACTGCTCCCTACTTCACGAAGCATGTCATCTAGATAAATCCCTAACCAAGCACTGCTTTCTGTCCTTATTTGTGAACAGCGGGGGCACACATCAATCACTCCTATACACCCATATATGCCTATGTATCCAACTGCCTGCCATTCTAGAACATTCGGAAAAGGGTACCATCTAGCTTTATTCTACAGGTCATTCTGAATCACTTTCACTGATAAGTCAAAGACTCTAAAAGTAATAAGATTCTAAGTTTCCAGGCATAAAAAAAACAGATTTTAACTCGATATACCTGTTGATTTTGGTACATTGAGCTTTTTTCTGGGGAAGATTTTACATGGCTTCTTGTTTGGCTTAAAACTATCAGTGGAAAAGGATGTACCGTGTTTCCCCGACAATAAGACAGTGTCTTATATTTTTTTTTCCCACGAAAAAAGACACTAGGTCTTATTTTTGGGGGATGCCTTATGTGTACCTGGCTGCAGCTGTCCGATCTCCGCTCGTGCGTGCGGGTGGGCGTGCGTGCGGGAGGGACGGAGCTGCGGCCGCTCTCAGCTCTAATGCCGTCCAGGGAGCCAGACAGGTGGGCGTGCGGGGGGGGGGCGTGCCTGGCA